GCTTTATAGTAACTATGATAAAAATGAAGATTCTGTCTTTGTGGTATTTCACCTGTTTCAAATATGTTCCATTTTAGCATAAGAGAATGCATCAGTCTATTCATTATTCAGGAGAGTTCATTATGAATAATCCTGGGAGCTGCTAAGGGCTTTCTTAACGACTGCAAACAAACTTTTTGAATATAACTTTTTTTTAGTTTGAAGTAAAATGAGTTATTAAAATGTCAAAAGGAACTTCTTCTCCACTATACAATTCATTTGTGTAACCAAAAATTACTGACACCCATGAAGCTATTAAAATAAAAAATAATGACAAAATTTCAAAAAAGAATTAAGAAAATTAACCAATGTAATTAGTTGGTAATATAATTTTAAATCTACAATCTCAAAATGAACATAAGATGGCATTTATTTTCATTAAATCAATTTCAATCTAATTTTTAGACTTCACAAGGACAAGGAGGCTAAAAAAATGTGATCTTCAACATTTTGGGAACTTGCTTTTCTTTAGTGTTATACAAAAAAAGCCTGGAGTTTTTATTCCAAAACATAAGGGTAGTACCTTTATGAATCAAGTTAAAATCATTATTTTTGCAAGCTAGTCACCACTAAGGCCAGTGACACTGTCCCTCTAGGTTTGGAAATGTTACTTATTCCATACTAGTCCTAAGACACAGAAATCTTGGTGAGGGCTGCTAGGGCTTATGTCAGATGTCCTACCTTCCTAGTCCACCATGTGCCTATCTTCTCTGAAATCTTGACTTATGCTCAAGACTGTGATTCTGTTACTAGAAGTAGACTTTAGTTTTCAGTACTTAAGCTTTCTTCAATGCCAAAATTATCAAGGCAAGGAACTACAGGGAGTCTATCTGCCTGTTGGGAATGCCTTTGCTGGAGTGTGGTGATAGGAATGGGAGCAGAATGAGCAGAAAAACTTTAAATGAACAGAAAATTTAGATGAGTAAAGCATTTAAAAATACAATTTTTACAGTGAGCAGAAATGTACAATGAACAGAAAAACTTAAAAAAATAATTTCCCCAGCAGAATAGAGTAAATCCATTTGACCTATTCCTCCCACGAAGTCAGCTAAAAACTTTGAATATTTTTTATTAAGCAAATATAAGAAAACTCTTAAAGTCAGAGAGAAGAAAGAAAACCAATTAGAGACTCCATGACTCAAGAAATAACACAAGGTAATCTCCCTGGATTTCCTTTTTGACTCTTGTATATCCCTGACCCAGCACTAAAGAAGTCTGAAATTCCAAAATGCCAATGGATGCAGAAAATAAAACTTCAAAAAAGGTCTACTCTTTCTTGCCAAGGAATCAGGAAAAAGACAGATAGTAAGGCAGATACAATAACCACTCTACTCTAGACAAACAACATGGAAAAAAAAGTTTCTATTCTTTTCAGCAAAGATCAAGTGGAAAGCCTAAACCTCCATTCCAGCCTAACACTACCAAGGCACATCTCCCACCTCCTCCCCAGCCAGTGTCATGTCAAAGGAGACTAAGTGAGGTGACTTCCAACCCTCATCAGGCAGCAATGACATAGGTGCCACCTTCCCTCCCATCCAGAGTGATGTCAGAGGAAGCCAAGCATAGAGCCTGGATGTTTACTACCACTTGACCAAGCATAGAGCCTGGACCTTTACTACCACTTGACCAAGCATAGAGCCTGGACTTTTACTACCCTAGCCCCTCATGGTGTCTAGAAGTGAGAACTTCCACCCTCATTCTATGGTAATGATGCATCCCTCTCACTCCTGTGGAGTCAGCAAAGGCCAAGTGTGAAACTTAAATTTTCATCCTCAGTGGTGGCAAAAGGCACCCTCACTTTTCCCTATGAGATGATGTCATCAGAAGCAGAATAAGGTTTGAGGAATCATTCTATCTGACTTTAAGAATTTCTATGTAGCTGTAGTAATCAAGATGTGATATTGGCAGATACACAGATTGGTGAAACAGAGTAGAGAACCCAAAAATATACCATACAAATTGCACAACTGATTTTTGGCAAAGATGCAAAGTAGTTTGAGTGGAAGAAAGAATCGTTTATTCTAGAAATTGTGCTGAAACACCATCTGACAGCTATAAGAACAAAAAGAACTTTGACTTAAACTTTACACCTTATGGAAAAAATTAACACAAAATGAATTAAGATTTAAATGCAAATCATAAAACTATAAAACTTTTAGTAGAAAAGCAGAAGAATATCCTCAGGACATAGAGCTAGATAAAACTTCCTATTATGACTAATTCAATTCGACATGACACTAAAACCAAGAGTTATAAAAGAAAAAGCCAAAAAGTTGGACCTCACCAAAATTAAAAACCTCTACTCTTAAAATACCCTGTTAAGAAGATGAGAGGAAAAGCTACAGTCTGGAAGAAAATATATGCAAATCGTATGTCTGAGAAAGAATTCTTGCCAGAATATATAAAGAACTTTCAAAACTTGAAAGTAAAAAAAAAAAAAAATCAATTATAAAATGAACAAAAGACTTACAGATATTTTACCACAGGAATATATATAGGAAAATAAGCACCTAAAATTATGTTCATTAGTCATTAGGGAAATGCAAGTTAAAACCTCAACGAGTTATCACTAAGCACCAATTAGAAAAGCTAGAATAAAAAATAGTGACAATACCAAATACCAGTAAGGATGTGGAGAAAATGGATCTTTTCGGGTAGGAATGCAAAATGGTACATCCACTCTAGAAAATAGCTTGCCAAGTTCTCAAAAAAAAAAGAAAGAAAGGGAAAAAACCGAATATACACTTACCATATGACCCAGCAATTGCACTAGTGGGCACTTTACTTCTTGCTTTTTTCTAGAAAAACGTTTTGCTACACACAAATATTCATAGCATCTTTATTTGCAATAGCCCAAACTTATAAACATTCAAATTTCCATCAATAGATGAAAGTTAAACTGTGGTGCACCCACACTGTGTAATACTACTTGGCGATAAAAAGGAACAAACTATCAACACATGGAACAATGTGGATGAACCTAAAAGGCATTATGCTGAGTCGAATAAAAGTCAATCTCAAAGTGATTGCATACTGTAAAATTCTATTTACATAAAATTCCTGACATAACAGAATTATAGTACTAGAGAACACATTAGTTAGGGATGGATGGGGTAATGAGTGAGTGTGACTTAAAAGAGTTAGCATGAAGGATCCTTGCAAAATGATGGAACAGTTGACTATGTTGATTATGGGAATGATTACCTCAATTTATACAAGTGATAGAATTGCATAAAACTACACACACACACACATGAAAGCACATAAAACTGTTGAACGCTTAAAATGGCCTGTGGATTGTAGCAGGGTCAGTTTCTTGATTTTGATATTATAGTATAGTTACAGAATACATTACCACTGGGGAAACCAGGTAAAGTTTACACAGGACCTCTGTGTACTATTTTTGTAATTTCATGTGCATTTATAATTATGTCAAAATAAAAACATTTTAAAATCATCTTGGCAATTAAAACTACATTAAGACAGTTACTTTGGTCATAAATTGTTTCTGGGCTGTATTCTGTTTCATTAGGTTATTTATCTACCCTTGTGACAATACCACAATATCTTAATGTAGCTTTGTGATAAATCTTGATATCTGGTAGAGACAATTTCCAGTTTTGCTCTGTATTTAAAAGATTGTCTTACATTTTTTTGGTTCTTGTATTTCCATGTAAATGTTATGATCAATTTCCACCAAAAAAGGCTACTAGGATTTTTATTAGAAATAAATATCAAGACCAATATTCTTTGCAATATTCTGATCCATGAACATTTTAATATTTTTCCATTTATTTAAGTTTTTAAAAATTTCTTTCAGCCGGGCTCGGTGGCTCAGCCTGTAATCCTGCGCCCTTGGGAGGCTGAGGTTAGTGGATTGCCTGAGCCCGCGGGTTCGAGACCCGCCTGGGCAGCGAGATCTCATCTCTACAATAAATCAAAAAATCAGCCAGGCGTGGTAGCGCATGCCTGTAATTCCGGCTACTTGGAAGGCTGAGGCGGAAGGATCGCCGGAGCCCAGCAGGTGGAGGCTGCGGTGGCCGGGAGCAGCCACTGCACTCCAGTCTGGGCGACAGAGTGAGACTCCAACTCAAAAAAAAAAAAAATTTCTTTCACGATGTTTTGTATGTTTCACTACAGAGAGCTTGTATATCATTTATTCAATTTATTAATAAATAATTGATATTCTGAAGCTATTCATTTGTAGAGTATATATAGAAAAGCAATTGGTTTTATTTACCTTGTATCTGGCAACTTTAATAATTTCACCTATTTCTTATATTTTTGTTTATATATTCATTTGAATTTATTATGTATCCAATCATGTAATGTATAAATAATGATAGATTCCAATCCTTATACTTTTTCTATCTTTTTGTCTCATATATTTATCATTCATGTATTTTATTATATTACCTAACCTCTTGTACAATGTTGAATACAAACAATGAGAGCAGACATCTTATTTCATTCCCAATTATGAGGGAAGGCTTTTACTATTTCACCATGATGTATAAAGACTTTTTGTTTGTTTATTTGTTTTTTGTAGATACTCTTGATCAAATTAAGGACATTTATTTTCTATTTCTAGTTTTTTCCCTTTTTAATTATAAATGAGTACTCATTCTTTAATCATAATAAATTTGCATGATCTTCTGAATTATTAGACTTTGAAACCTGACTTATTTAAATTACATTCAGATTTATGTGTTGAGTGTCTCTAATGTACCAGGTCATCTGCTAAGTACTGGTAATATAATAATAAACTGTCATAGAGTATTTAGTAAGTGTTTCTGAAGAAGTAAAAAAAAAAAAAAAGACTATGGACATAATACCAAAGAAAAGCTGTATTTTATTTTATTGAAATAAATTTAAACAAAATGTAGTTGATTGCAAATATTAGAATGATTTCAATGTGAATAAACGTGCACAATTCAATTTAAATTATTTTTATCTTTCAGAGTTGGGATAGTGGTTTAGCGAAGATGGCTAAAGCATGGGCAAACAACTGCAAGTTCCAACACAACAGCTGTTTAACTAAATCATATGCATGTCATGAAGATTTCGAGTATGTTGGAGAAAATATCTGGTTAAGTGACAAAGAAGCATTAACACCAGAACTTGCTGTTGCTTCTTGGTATAATGAAACTGAATTTTATGATTTTGACAGTCTATCATGTTCCAAAGATTGTGGCCATTACACACAGGTAAATATTTGACATCTTATTGATTAACTCTTATTTGTGCACATTCTAATTGCAAGAAAAAACTTTTTAGTACTTTCTTCTGAGTTTATTTTGAGTTTCTAGAAAATTCAACTTTGAGAGCTATTTTTACTGGAAATAGAATTTTATGAAGTTAGTGTTTAATTCTTCTGAACTTTAAAAATCTTGCTCCATCATCATCTTACTTGCATTGCCTCCAACAAGAAATCTACTGAAATTCTCTTATTTAGTCCTCTGAATGTAATGTGTTTTTTCTTTTATCTGCCTTTAATTTTTTTCCTTATAGTTCTTAATCAATATAATAATAATGTACCATAGTTTTCTTCATGCTTCTTGTGCTGCAGTTCACTGAGATTTTTGCAGCTATATGTCTATAGTTTGAATCAAATTTGGAAAAATCTTAGCTGTTGTTTCTTGAAATATTTCTCTCTCTTTCTTCTCTTCCCTGAGTCCAGTTCCCTGTCTAGAAGGCCACTTGAAGTCCCACAGTTCGTTGATGTTCTTGTCTCTTTTAAAAAATTTTTTCCTCTCTGTGATTCATCTAAAATAATTTTAAACTATATTTTTCAATTTACTGATTTTTCTTCTGTGATATTTAATCTACTGTTACTTTCATTTTTCTTTTCAATCTTATACCTTAAAGTTTTGAGATCATCAATGAATATATAGTATGTTTAATCTTTTATCTAGCTTTTTTAGGCATATGGGATAAGGTTATAAAAATTATTTTAATGTTTTCCCTGCTAGCTCTAGTATCTATGTTAGCTCAGTGTTACTTTCAGTGGATTTATTTTTCTTTGTTATGATTCAAATGTTCCTGACTTTTATCATGTTGGATAAATATTATTATATTCTCAACATTGTAAATTTTGCTTTGTTAAGTGATGGACTTATTTGTATACCTACAAATATTCTTGAGCTATCTTCTAGAGATACAGCTAAGTTACCTGGAATTTATTTGATCTTTTTGATTCCTGCTTTTAAAATATGTTAATATTTTTAAATGGAATAATATGTTAATATTTTAAAGTGGAATAAAAGCAGTGTTTAGTCTAGAGCTAATTACCTCTCACTGCTGAGGCAAGATTCTTGCATACTATCCCTAATGCCCTGAGACTTAGGAAGTTTTGGATAGTGGGAATAGGTCATATTCCTAGCTTTGTGTAAGCCTTGTATTGGTTCCTTTATTTCTTATAAGTGGCTCTTTCCCAATACTAAAGCTTCTTCACATGCATACTTTGATTAGTACTCTGCTGTATAGGAGGTGCAGACCCTCTTCAAATTTTCAGTGTGTCATTGTGCAATTGTCACCTAACCAGTACAGTGCCCTCTAAATTCCTGCTTTCTTTGTCTCCCTAGACTGTCATTCAGACTCTCAACTATGTGAGTCCATCAAGCTTCTGGTTTTTCATTTCCTGAGGCACAGTCTACAAACTCTCTCAAGACAATAAGCCAAGACAATTATATAACTTATATTTTCCCATCAAATCTCAGGGACATTATTTTATGTTGCTTAATGTACAATGTCTTACCATTATTTTTTATTAGTTTCCCTAATTTTTTTATTATTTCAGGTAAATGTATGACTGTGTCCCTGTTACTCCTTTTTGGTGGGAAGTAAAATTCGTTTTTTGAGCAAGCTTTAATCCTAGACATGGTACTGAGCACCTACAAAGGCCTGTTTAAACAAGAGAAAGAGTTCACTTACTTCTATAAAGTTACCTATTTGTATAAGTTAAATCATTATGTGGGGTCTTGTAGCAAGTAATTTTTACCAGAAGTGCAGTGAACAAAGAATAGCAACCTTTACAGTCCCCTTATTTTCATTCTTTATTCAACAATAGGATGTTCTAAGTCTGAATACTCTCCAGGACATCAAGAAAGATGTTATTGGTTTAAAAAAAAAAAAGTTTGACTATTGCTGAGAAAATTGAGAGACTGAATCAAGTGTCAGGTGTCCTGATGACAAGCAGAATGTAATATCCCTAATATGGCATCAAGGCTGAGTCACAGCTTTAATATATCCTTTGTCTTCTCTTTTGCTGTAAGAAAAAGGGAACTTGTTCCCAAATGCTCCTTCTTATTTAGCATTACTAGGTCAGAAATGGAAACTTATTCCTCATTGGCTAATTTACACATAAACTTAAATAATTAGGAATGACTATATATTGCTTAATGTTCTAAACAAAATGAGATAAAAATTTCATGCATTTACCACCTACTGATATTCATATTATTATATCCAACGTCCATATTAATATTGCATCTAGTTTCTTTAATGAAAGCAAAACATTGTAAACCTATAGATAGTAAATATTTATTTCACCATTTCAAAAGACAAAATTAATTTCATGGTGTAATTACTTACCAGTGAGTCAAGTTTTTAAGCATTATTTCTTAAAACATATTCTTGTAGTTGTATAGTTTATTCATTTTTTAAAAATCTAAAAGCAAAGAGATATTTTAATGATCTAGCTTAATCTTACTTCATTAAGTGGGAAACCAGCTCAGAATTGATCTGTCACTCATTCTCTAAAACTACACACTTGATTGGGGTTAAAAAGCTAATTTCTTAATTTTCTCTTCACTGAGCTCTTTATTGCACTTTGCTGCCTCTTAGACAACCAAAAAATCATTCAAATATATTTTGCAAAATTATTTATTCCGACCATACAAAGTCCATGGAAAAAATGACTTATATCTCAATTTGTGAAATAGGTTAATACATTTTACTAATGGAGGTGTAAAATAAAAAGAGTTCACAAAATTAATTTGTGTTGTCAGAACCTATTCTGTACCAAAATTTTTTGAATTTTTCTTTTGTTTTTAACTTTTAAATTTTTTTATTTTAAAATTGTGGGGTACAATTCAGGATTAAGTGTACAAATATTCATTGTTCAGGTACTTTTGTTGATGAGGTATGACACCCCTTCCCCAGGGAGATTTCAACTGCTGTCAATCCCATCTCCCCTACCCGCAGTTTCCTGCTACTGACAATCCGTTTCTTACAGTATTACAGTAGCTGTTCATGATCCACCTGAGTGAGAACAAGTGATACTCAGTTCTCTGTTTCTCTGAAAGATAACTCAGTATTATAGACTCTAATTCCATCCAGGTTGCTGTGAAATTCATGATTTTGTTCTTTATGGCTGCGTAATATTCCATTGTGTATATGAACCACAATTTTTAAATCCAGTCCTTTTTTGATGGGCAGCACAGTTGGTTCTATGATCTTGCTATCGTGAACAAGGCTGGGATAAACATACGTGTGCGGGTACCTTTTTATAGAGTGATTTGAATTCTTCTAGGTATATTCCCAGTAGGGGGATTGCGGGGTCAGATGGAAGGTTGAGTATTAGAACTTTTAGGAATTGCCACACTGATTTCCACAGAGGCTGTACTAGTTTACACACCCACTGACAGTGTAGAAGTCTTCCCTTTTCACCACATCCTATCCAGCATCTGTTATCTTTTGAGTTATTCTGACTGGGATAGATAGTATCTCAGTGTGGTTTTAATTTGCATCTCCTTGATGACTCGTGAGGTTGAACATTTTTTCATGTGGCTGTTGGCAGCTCGTATGTCTTCTTTTGAGAAGTATCTATTCATATCTTTTGCTCACTTTGTAATGGGGCTGTCTGTTTTGTTCTTTTAAGTACGTTTGAGTTTCTTGTAGATCCTAGATGTTAGGCCTTGGTCAGACATGGAGTTGACAAATATTTTTTCCCAGTTAAGTCCATTTGGTCAAGAGTCACATTGAGGTTCCAGATCTCCATGCTAATTTTTTGTCCTGATGATCTGTCTAGGGTTGTGAGTGGGGTATTGAAGTCCCAAGCTATGATAGTGTTAGCATCAATATCTTTTTTAAGTTTGCCTAGAAACTGCTTTATAAAAGTTGGCACTCCTGTGTTGGGTGCATATATGTTTAGGATGGATATTTCTTGTGAAGGATTAAACCTTTTATCATTATGTAGTGACCTTCTGTATCTTTTTTTAATTTTTGATAGCTTAAAGAGTATTTTGTCTGAAATTAAGATTGCAATTCCTGCTTTATTTTGTGTTCCAGAATGGTCTCTGTCTCTCTTTCTGCCTCAGGAAGTCTAATTTCTAAGGTTCGGCCTCTTGAAATAATTGCTCATCTCTTGAAGGTTTTGTTCTGTCTTTTTAAGCTTCTTTTCTATGTTTTTGACAGTTTGGGTTAGTTCTATATTTTGGTCCTCAAACTCTGAAATTCTTTCTTTCTGAGATTCTGCTTGGCTAATTCTGTTTTCCATGCTTATTAGTTTGTTATTTTTTTTTAATCACAGTATTCTTTATTGCTGTTATCTCAATTATCAACTCCTTATTTTCCTCCTGTCTCTCCTTAATTGTTTTAATTCTCTCTATTAATGTCTTGATGTCTGGGTTTGTAGTATGTGACCAGTCATTCTGGGGACTCTTCATTGTTTGCATTCCAAAGTCTGTTTTCTCAGTGTCTGACCTCCCTGGTGTCTGTATGAGACCTATATTCTTTGGGGTTTTCTTCATTTGTGTAGATTTTCCTCCCCCACTTTTTCCTTCCCCCCCTTCTTTAATTCTGTTGTTCAGGGATGGTAGGGTTGCTTTAACTTCTGTTTGCTCAATCTCCTATTCTCCTTTATTTGAATCCTTTAGTTTTGTTCAGTTCTGAAGGTGAACTGTGGGTTAGAGGCTGTACTTTTTTGCAGTTTTGAGATTTAATTGAGGGAGGAGCTATGATTCAAAATCTATCTGCAGATCCCAGTATCCACCAACAGCTGTATGGGTACCCTGGAACACACTTCACAATGCCTTGTAATCTGTCCATGCAGTGGGGGTATATGTTTGCTCACTGAAAGCATAATGAGGTAAGAGAAAGGAAAAGAATGGAACAGAGAAGGGGTAAAGAAGAAGGTGGAGAGAGAAAGTAGTAAGAGAGAAAACAGACAAATGTACTGACTAACAAATGAAAAGAGACACAAAGACAGAAAAGAGTAAAAAAAACAAACATACAGACAATCTCACAAACACACAAGCCAACCATCCTCCCTATTAATATATTATTCCCTTACACAAACAGGAAGTATAAAGAAAGAAAAATAAAAATTTAAAAAATCAGTAAAATAACAGAAACAAAGCAAGTATGAAAATGTTATCAACAACAGTAAGAAGAGAGAGAAAAGAGGGGGAAAATGAGTAAAACAAACAGACCAAGGAATAAAAATAAATAAAAACAAGGAACCAGGCTCGCTCTGAGATCATTCCTATAAGTCCAATGTCCTTTCAGCTCTGATCTCTAGCTCTCATCACAGACTGGTAGGGTTGCTCACAGCTAGGGTCAGATGCCTCAGGCCTGCTGTGGAAAGAGGTTGGATCAGATCTGGACTCAGTCAGCTTGCAGCCTATCAAGTTTGCCACTCAAATCTGACCTGTCTGTGCCTGATCTAACGTGGGGGAGGGGCTTCTGTCTCTTCCAGTTTGATGCTATTACCTTAGGTCCCAAGTTGGAGGCTGGGAGGAGCAGGGCAGAGCTCAGCAGGGCAATGCAGGTGTCTGCCTGGTCTCAGGGCTCCAGCTGATCTCTGGTGCCACCATGGCCGGGGACCAAGCCGGGGGAAGTAGAGTGGGAGACAGCCGGTGCTGCAGGTCAGTGAGGTATGGGGCAGCTTGGGGCAGTGTGGGACGGTGCAGCCCGCAAGGGAGCCCAGAGCTCCATGGGGCCAGGAGCTGAGGGCTGACCCAGGTGGGGCAGTGGCAGCCACAGCAGTAAAGAGATACATAAGACCAAGGGCCTCCAGCCCACAGGCCAGCATGGCTTGTGGCAGCATCAGCAGCAGCGAACATTGTGTGGGGTTGGGGTTTTCCAGCCCGCAGGTCTACACTGCTAGCCAAGGAGCAGATTGGCAATGGCAGCAGCAACAGCCACCCAGGAGAAAGCGAGAGTTTTTATGGACACTCCCTTTCATGGAGACTCTCACAGTCCAACCTGTCCCATAGCCATCTTGCTGGAAGTTCTCACATCTTAATTTACTGAAGGTTATCTAGTCTGACTATTTTGCTCCAGGAGAGAGATGCAGGTCTGAACATTTTAAGTAGATCTTATCTCCTGTCCCAAATCAAAGGATGGCACAGAGACATGGAGTGCAGCAGAAGCGAGACTTTAATGACAGTCTTGCAAGATTGGATGTCTAATGGACAGGCACCTGAATTATGCCTAAAATGGAGTAAATCAACATTTTTTCTCTTTGTTTATTTGGATAATTAAGAAATATTTTATTGTTTTGCAGTCATAAAAGACTAGCAATGTTCTTCACTGCTTTATTTGTCTCCCTTGGCTAGTTTTCCATAGAAGTCTTCTTTCTTTGAATAACCTTCCTGTTCTTTATAACTACATAAAAATAAATATTCACCATATTTATGGAAGACATTCTTAATATTAATTAAATATGTTCTTAATCCCCAGTTATCTTTTGTGACTTAACAAAGGTAAGAATATGACTAAGAAAACAAAATTTAAAATGTAACAATAAATTATGCAGAATTTTTCTGAGAAAAACCAATAAATGTGAATTATTATTTTATTTATAATCCAATTTTAATATTGTTTATATGGAATGACCATTAAAAGAATTAAAATATATTTTATAAATCACCTAGAAATTATGGTTTGGGCTATTATGATTTTGACTATATGTCACAGTCTTCTTTTGATTTGTGAGAATTATCAGGGAGGAAGAACTAGCTAGGTAGCTCTCATGAAAGCAGCCTTAACAAAACAATCATTTTAAACTAAATATACAAATTTGTAATATATATACATAATTAATAAATGTGATTTTTGTAGCATGACAAAGATTGCACCTATTCCTACAATACATTGTTTGCAGAGAATTATTTTGCATATTTCATTTTAAAATTTATCTTTTTATAGGTGGTATGGGCCACTTCAGATAAAATTGGTTGTGCAGCTGCAATTTGCCCTAATCTTGGGGATATTTCAACTACAATATTTGTATGCAACTATGGACCTGCGTAAGTTATTATTTTGCTCTTAAAAATATTTTAATTGAAATAAATGTTAACAATGGTTTTCAAAAAAAGAATCTTATACTAGAGACAAGTATTTTTTGATATGTAAAGTCTTCCTCTATCATGCTAATCAAATTAGATAGATAAAAATAGACGATGATGATAGAATATTGCCTTTTGTAAAGAAGAAATATATATGTCATAAAATATTTAAACTTGAAAGTGAAAATAAAGGAGATTGTTAAGTAAAAAAGAGAGTATAAAATGTATTGACACAGTAAAGTCTAGATAATGTAGCACAACAAAGGTTGGTAGATGCTTTTCTAATTAATATAAAATAAGTGGATGAGAAATCCACTTATTTAATATTAATGAGAAAATGATTGAGAATGGTGATAAAAGCTCATATTTTTAATAAAATAACAACATGATTTTTAATTGCTTTGCTGATAATTGCGTATCTTAATACAAATATGACATAATCCTAATGGGCAGTCTCAAAAATGAAATTCTAGAACTCTAATCCCAGTGGATCTATACAAGAAAGAATGCAAAAACAGTTAATAACCCAACTCTTCAACAAACAACAAGTCAAAAAGAAAATGTGCAAAAGATAAAAATAAAAACAAAGAATAAATATTAAGAATTGGCAAAAAGATATCCCAAAATTACCAACAAGAGGTATAAATTTTATATAGACATATCTCTGTATATTTCTCACTGTCTCTCACTTAGAAACAAGAAAAATGATAAATACAGAGCCTTGAATCTTAGGGCAGAGTACAATTTTTATAGATATCAGAAAAATTACAAAACTGTTGGCATTTATTACCACCTATTATCTTAAGGACACTAATCACTGATTTTAAAATGGAAAAAGAGGAATAATGAATAGGTGATTAAGGCTTAAGTCTTGATAAAGCAGTAGAGCATCTTGTTACTTTAAACATCAGGTTTTGAAGTCCAAACAAATTATATACATAACAGATTTCTTATGGTTCTTGTGAAAGCATAAGAGGATATTGTTACATGACTCTTGGGCAAATAGCAAGGATCAATATACTCTACCACCTGAAACAACAACCAAAAAAAAAAAAGAGAAGAAGAAGAAAACAGACAAAATACATAAAGCAACAGTTTTTAAGACATTTGCTATCATACAAAAAGAGCTATGGTCTCGGAAAAAGTTTGCCCTACAATTACCCCAGCTTGATGCCTTGGCATGTTGAGGTGTGGAGAGAGGACTAAGGCAGAGGTTGGTAGACTGCCTGAGTTGAAAAAATAAAACTAAAAGTGCAGGTAGACTAATACAGCTAAAGATCATGAAAAAATGTGCCAGAGAAAAGAGAACTACATACAGAGAGAACACTGGAGATGTGCAAAGGGTTTTCCTTGCATACTCAGCAAAGTACTGATTAGCAGATGTGTGTGAGGAAATTGCTTCAGGCCATGGTAACAAACATCAGAAAGATTACAGGAACCAGTTCCTGGTACACAGGGAGCAAGCAGTACTAGACTGCTCTAGACCTATTTAGCAATTCCTAAAGTGAAATCTGAATCAAAATATTGCCATGCAACTTAACGGCATTATCCAAAAAAAGCTCAAAAAGATTTATAGAAATACATACTATCCAGCACCTAACACAATGTCTGGTATCTAATCAACTATTTTCAGGCATACAAAAAAGCAGGAAAGCAAGATTTATAATGAGGAGGATAATCAATCAGTTGAAACTGATGCAGAATTGACACAGATGTTAGAATTAGCAAAGAAAGACATTTAAATAGTTATTATAAACATATTCCATATTTTCAAAAGTTCAGTAAAAAGTAGAAAACATTGGAAACAGAAAATTACAATGTTTGAGATTTTTTAAAGTTAAGGTTAATGAGAGATTAGGCATTCCAGAAGAAGGGATTAGTGAATTTAAAAACATAATAATAAAAATTATCTAAGATAGTAAGCCCAGGAGTTTGAAGCTGCAGTGAGCTATAATCACACCACTGCACTACTGCCTAGGTGACAGAATGAGGCCCCCCATCTCCATAGAAGGAAGGGAGGGAGGGAGCAAGGGAAGGAGGAAGGAAAGAGAAAGTATTCAAGATACAATCCACAAAGAAAAAAAGAATTCAAAAAGAATAAAATATGTATCAGTTAGCCATAAGACAACTTTAATGATAATTGATTTCCTGAAAGTGATTAAGGCAACAGAAAAACATTTGAAGAAATATGGCGCAAAACATTCCAAGCGTGAAGAAAATTATATACTCACAGATCCAAGAAGCTTACTAAGCTCCAATCACAAGAAACATGAAGAAAACTGCACCAGGCTATCTTATAATCAAAAATTTCAAAATTGGTAATAAAAAGAAAATCTTAAAAGTACCCAGAGGACAAAGACAGGTTACATACAGAAAAACAAACATAGGGATAATAGCAGATTTCTTACTGGAAACAATGCAAGATAGAAGACAATAATACCTTTTAAAAATAAACAAAACAAAACTGCCAACTGAAAATTCTACACTCAGAGAAAATATCTTTCAAAAATAAAGGTGGAGCCTGGGCAAGTTGGTTCACATCTTGGGAGGCCAAGGCAGGAGGATTGCTTGAGCCTAGGAGTTTGAGACCAGCCTAGGCAGCATAGTGAGATCTTGTCTCTACAAAAATTTTTTAAAAGTTAGCCGAATGTGATGGTATGTACCTATAGTCCCAGCTACTATGTAGGCTGAGGCCTAAGGATCGCCTGAGTTCAGTAGGTCAAGGCTATAGTGAGCCGTGATTGTGTCATTGTACTCCAGCCTGGGTGATAGAGTGAGATCCCCAACTCAAATAATAATCAATCATAATCATAATAAAGGTGATATAAAGATGTTTACAGGCCACTAGAGATGGTAAATACATAGGTAAAGATCTAAGATGTTATTTTTTATTATTTAATTCTTTCAGAAATAATTTTTTAATCAAAAAGAATAGCAGTATATTGTGAGAGCTATCATATATGTAAAATTGAACTACTTAAGGTTCTTCTAATCCATGTGAAGTGGAATAATTTAACTTGACTGTGATAAGTAAAAGGTTCATACTATATATTCTCAAGTAACCAATAAAATTTAAAAAACAAAGAGTAATATCAAATAAACTAACAGATCAGGTGGAATTGAATTTTAAAAAATATTTAATTAACCTAAAGGAAGGCAGGAAAAAGGAAAAGATTGCAAGGAGAAATAAATCCAAAATTATCATCAGACATTTCAATACCCCGATCTGATCATAGAAAGAGCAAATAGATAGAAAATAAGTAGGGTTGTAGATTTAAACAATACCAAACCAACTTGACCTGATTGGCATGGGTAGACTATACCATCCAATAACAGAACAACAGCAGCATATTTTTTTCCCACTACACATGGAACATTTAACATGGAAGACCATATTCTGGGTCATAAAACAAGTCTGATACATTTAAATGGATTAAAATAATACAAAGTATGTTGTCTGATGACAATGAAATTAAATTGCAAATAACAGAAGAGACCTTGAAATTTTCTAATATTTGAATATCAACACACTTCTAAATAACTCATGAATCAAAGGAGAAATCAAAAGAGAAGTTTGAAAATATTTTGACCTTAATGAAAATAAAAACAAAACATGTGAGATGCTGTTAAACCAATACTTAAGGCTGGGCAAAGTGGCTCATGTCTGTAATCCCAGCACTTTGGGAGGTGGAGGCAAAAGGATTGCCTAAGCCTAGGGGTTCAAGAGCAGCCTGGGCAACTTGGCAAGACTTTGTCTCTATAATAAATCAAAAATTAATAAGGCATGGTAGAGTACACTTGTAGCTCCACCTTCTTGGAAAGCTGATACAGGAGGATCACCTGAGCCCAGGAGGTTGAGGCTGCAGTAGCCATTGAGTGTGCCACACACTCCATCCTGGTCAACAGACTGAGACTCTGACTCAAAAGAGTTTATGACACTAAGGCCCACGATGAAAAGGGAGAATGGTTTCAAGTCAATGGCCTCATCTTCCACCTAAGAAACTAGGGGGAAAGGGAGAAAATTAAACCCAATGTCAGCAAAATAAATAAAATATTTTTAAAAGGAATAAATAAATGAAATAAGCAGAAAAACACTAGAGAAAAATGATAGAGAATATCAACTAAATCCAAACCTCATTGGTCAACAAAATTGATAATCTTCCAGTCATACTGATCAGAAAATATATATACACATATATATATTGATATTTAAACAATATTAGGAAGTAGGTAATAGCACTATAGATTTTACAGTTATTAAAAGTAAAATAAGAAAATATTAATAATATTTATGCCAATATATTTCACAACTTAGATAAAATGAAAAATTGTTCAAAAGATAAAAGTTACAAAGGAGAGATAAAGAAACTAGAGCAATATCCCTCACAACCATAGGTACAAAAATTCTAGACAAAATTTAGCAGTTGAATCCAACAATATAGTAAAAGCATAATACACCTTGTCCAAATGGGATTTATTCCAGGAATGCAGGCTGAAATAAATAAAGATTACTCACCACATTAATCACCTGAAAATAAGGATTATAAGATCATCTCAATAGATGCAGAAAAACCAAAACATTCATTTCTGATAAAGGATCCTAGCAAGTTAGACATAGAAGGGAATGTCATAAAGCTAATAAAGGGTATCTATGAAAAACGTATAGCTAAAATTATGCTTTACAATAAAATTTATTTATTTATTTTAAATTAGAAAATATAGTTTATTATAAAACTAAATTAGAAAGACAGAGAGAAAGAAAGAGAGAGAGGAGATTCACCTCCCCAAGGTAGGGAAGAGGGCCAAAGTCAGAGAACATGACCTGGCCATAGCACAAAGAGCACATGGCCACACCATAGCTTAGCAAGGCAATGGCCATAAAAATTTATTTTGAAAATAACAGACAGTAAATATGCTAGGCATTGCATGCCATATACAGTCTCTGTTGCAAATTTTTCTTTCTTTGTGTTTTGTTTCTAATAACTCCTTGAAAATAAAAATAAATTCTTAGTTTACAGACTGCATAGAAACAGACCACAGGCCAGATTTGACCAAGGGGCAATACTTTACTGACTGCTTATCTATAGGCCTATACATAGAAAAACCATTAGAATCTACCAAAAATCTTCCAGAACTAATAAGTTCAGTAACTTTTTAGAATACAAAATCAGTATACAGAAATCAATGGCATGTCTAATATATTAGCAATCAGAAATTGAATTAAAATAACAATGCCACTTATAACAGTATTGATAATATAAATTATCTAAGACTAAATCTGGCAAAAGAAGAAAGAGATAGACACACTGAAAACTATATAATATTATGAGAATAATTTAAAAATTAACGGTCAACAGTTAAATTAATTCAGGGCCAAGTGCAATGGTTCATGCCTGTAATCCGAGAACTTTGGGAGGCTGAAGAAGGAATACTGCTTGAGGCCAGGAGTTCAAGAACAATTAAATTAATTCAATTTGTACTTAATTAAAATAACAATACCATTTATAATAGCATCTAAAACATAAATTGAGAAGCAGGCATGATACTTATCAAATATTTGGGGACTTCATCAAATAGAAATAGAGACTATAGTACTGTACTTAAAATTAAACCACAAAACATGTTTTTATTTGCAATTTAAACTTTGTTTACTTCATTTACAAAATGAAGAAATAATCATAGTGACAAAAACTTTGTGGCTATCACATGCATAATTAATTACATTGGGCTCATATCTAATTTGTATTCCACAGAAAAATCAAGAATAGAACTGCCATGGAGTTTAGGGACATCCCGTAAAGGACAATTTTAATAGTTTATATATATATATAAACAAAACAATTTTAATAGTTTTTTTGTATACACACATACACACACACAAAAGAAAAGAACATCAGATTGGGATAAAAGTTTTTATTTTTCCTTTTCAACACTCATGACTTAGTGACTCATTGAACCAACTTGCATAAAGGAATACACAAAATTGGAGATTTTAATGAGCATTTGACTAATCAATGTTTCTTTTTTCACAGAGGAAATTTTGCAAATATGGCCCCATACAAGAAAGGAGCATCTTGTTCTCTGTGCTCTAAAGGAGAGAAATGTGTACAGAAACTCTGCAGTAAGCAAAAAGAAAACATAATAATCATAACATTGTGCTGGGAGAATAAAGTTTTCATAAACTCTTTATATTTTAAATTTTGGTACCTCAAGTTTGTAATGTGTGTAGACAAGACTTGATTGCTGCTAATTGATGACATAAATCATTTGTCATAAATTATCATATTTAAACTCAGATCCCTTCTTTCTTCACTGATTATTTCTCCTCTCGAGCTAAAGATCAGAAAGGAATGAAGGATGACTGTGATCCAGTCAGCTAATACACTAGTCAATGTCCAACATAATTGTGACTTAAAACTAACATGTTTCTCTTCCATCATCACCTTTTTGGCTCCCAAAACAAAAATAGTTTTTAAGGATAAATGTGTAAATTTTTGTAGGGTTCAGAAGAGAAAGGGGAGAAGGAGATGATATAAAAATTGTACATTTTTATCCAGGCTCAGTGGCTCAGCCTGTAATCCCGCACTTTGGGAGGCTGAGGTGAGTGGATTGCCTGAGCTCGCGGGTTCGAGACCCGCCTGGCCAACTTGGCGAGACCTCATCTATACAATAAATCAAAAAATTAGCTGGGCGTTGTAGCGCACGCCTGTAGTTCCAGCTACTTGGAAGGCTGAGGCAGAAGGATGGCCAGAGTCCAGCAGGTCGAGGCTGCAGTGGCCGGGAGTGTGCCACTGCACTCCAGTCTGGGTGACAAAGTGAGACTCCAACTTAAAAAAAAAAAATTGTGCATTTTTTTTAAAACGGAGCCATGAACGCAGACAAAACAAGAAGATTGCATATATTAAATTATTTCATGTATATAAAACTCAAAATCAGGCAAGATCGATTTATGTTTGGAGTCAGAATAGTGAGTACCCTTGGAGAAGAAAAAAGAGCTAGTAATTGTAAGAGGACGCCAAAAAGACTTTCTGGACCTATGCTATGATTACCTAAGTGTGTTCACTTTGTAATAATTCATCAATTTTTCCACTTTTGAGATACAAGATTTGCTATATTCAAATTATACATTAATTAAAGAACATATTAGAAGTATGGTATCTCTAATTTCACATTTAATTCAAACAATTCTAAAAATAAATGTATTTTTACCACCTATTTGGAAATTAATGTGTTCTAGTCAAAGGGATATAAAGATAACGATGATACATTCATTTTTTTCACTTTCTTTTCCTGCCTGGTATCCAAGCCATTATCAATTCTTGCCTAAACTAGTGCAGTCTCTCCCAACTTCCTTCTTACTTTATTCCAAACTGTTTTACACAAAGAAAATCAGATCAAATCACTCCTTTTCTTAAATTTCTCAATTACTCCTTGCTACAACTAAAGAAAAGTCTGATTCTATATGATGTGGCTGACAGTTCCAAAGATGATCTGGCCCATGCTGTCTCTCTCTCACCATATTTTTTTCTGACCCACTAAGCTTCATTATCACCACCCTCAAGTATTCCAACCTCTTTTTAAAAGATCCAACATCCAGATCACATGTAGGTTCATTTCTAGTTTCAAGGCTATTTTGTTTTCTCTTTGGTTTTGGTAATACATTCTATTTCTCGGTGTGATGAATTGTCTTTAAAGTGACCACCAACAATTCCTCCCGTTCCTTACATGCCAGTCCTTCCATCAAGAAGAGGAGGCAATTTTCCCTTTCCTTGAATAAGGACTTGGTACTATATCAATCCTTGGCCTAGCAGCTTTGGCATTTGCTGTGTTGGAAGTTGCTAACTAGCATGTAATATATGCTCACTGGCTGAGAAAACAACTTTGAGTAAGGTCCTGGAGGAGGAGAGGCCATTTTGCTGTTTCAACCCCAGCTAAGCTCCAGGTAAATGCAGCCGTGATATTGAACTCTGAATGATACCACATATAACAAAGGAAGTATCTAGCAAAGCCAATTAATAAAAATAATTATAAGAAATAATAATAGTTATGATCTCAAGCCATTAAGCTTTAGAGAAGTTTGTTTTACAGCAGTAGAGCATAGAAACATTTGAGATGGCTGAGCTTTTATTAGAAACTTAATACGTGTATTTCTGGATTCCCTATTCTGTTCCATTAGTCCATGTGCTGCTCTTGTACCGGTACCATGCCGTTTTGGTTACTATAGCCTTGTAGTATAATTTAAAGTCAGGTAACGTGATGCTTGCAGCTTTGTTCTTTTTTGCTCAGTACTGCTTGGCTATCTTGGTTCTTTTTTGGTTACATATGAATGTTAAGATTTTTTCTAATTCTGTGAAAAAATGATGTTGGTAGTTTGATAAGGTTTGCATTGACGCTATAGATTACTTTTGGGTAATGTGGTCATTTTAACAGTATTGTTCTTCTAATCCATGAGCATGTGATATTTGTCCATTTGTTTATGTCCTCTACAATTTCATTCCTCAGTGTTTTGTAGATCTGCTTGTAGATATCTTTCACCTCCTTGGTTAAGTGTATTCCTAGGTATTTTAGCTTTTTGGTGGCTATTGTAAATTATTTCTTGATTTGATTCACAGCTTGGTCATTATTGGTGTATAGAAGTGCTACTGATTTGTGTGTGTTGGTTTTGTATCCTAAGACTTTACTGAATTCACTTATCAAGTCCAAGAGTCTTTCGTAGAAGTCTTTAAGATGCTCTAGGTACAAGATTCTATTGTCATCATACAGAACTAGTTTGAGTTCTTCTTTCCCAATTTGGATACCCTTTATTTCTTTCTCTTGCCTGATTGCTCTGGCTAGGACTTCCAGTACTATGTTGAACAGAAAATGGGCATCCTTGCCTTGTAGAGGAGGGTGAAGGGATAAGAAGGAAAACTCACCTATCAGGTACAATGCACATAGGTGGGAGTGGAGGGTACACTTAAAGCCCAGACTTCTTTGCCACTGTACAGTGCATCCATGTAACCAAAAGCCATTTATACTTTCTGAAGCCATTAAAATAAAAATTAAAAAATTAAAAAATAAAAACTCCAAAAAACCACTTAATACTGTATATGCACAAAAATGCAGAAGTTTCTACCTTTTCTTCTGCAGAACAGAATCATTGTTGTTCACATTAATCCAAACACAATTTAGTTAAGCCTGGGTTAGAACTTATGTACTGGTTAATCTAATCTACCTTTGCTGCTCCTGCTCCAAGTGTGTAGATTTGCAGTTTCCAGTGAGAGCCTGGTGTGCTCACTGTACCCTTTTCCTGGTGGCTTCTGAACTCCAATTCTTATTGTTTTAGTATTATGAAATTGCTAAAAACTCTGTTTTGCTTTCTAGAGCCTTTTAGGCTAGGTTTTAAGCCTCTGCCCTCACAGCTCCAAAATTAAGCAAATAGTGAAAGTACAAACTGGGCATCTCAGGTTTATCTCCCCCGCCACTTCCTCTCACCTGTATCTTGACCCCTTAATTCTCCAATTTTGTCTCTCCAGCCCTATAAAGCCACCAAAAATGCTGCTGATTTTCCTGTTTTTCCAAAATTGGCCTCTGGCTGGGCAAAGCCCAGATTTTTAGCCTTAGACCTGAGTCCAGAACCAACAGATGAGCCCAGGGAAAAAAAGCAGCTCTCATCACATCAGCCTACTCCTCTGAGGATCTCCTGCTCTGAAATCTTGGTGCCTCTACTCTTTGTTCCTTTAGCAAATTTCTGGTCCTCCTAAACAGTACTTTGTTGTATTTCATTTGGATTTTCTGGTAGTGCTTGATGAGAGCTTTTGTCTGTCACAAGCCACTCCAACCAGGAGACTTAAGCAGTCAACAGGCTCCAAACAGGACCAAACTGACTACAAAGACCACAGTAAGCACCGATACCTGGTTGGAGGTTTTTCTCCAATCTCCTCTTTTTCCAAATAATTCAAAAGTTATTTGGCTTTTCTTGTACCTTCACTCTTGCAAATTAATTTTAGGATATGTTTATCAATTGTACAGAAGACCTAGTTAGAATTCTGGTTTAGGATTGCAGTCATGTGTTACTGAAAGATGCATCATTAGGCAATTTTGTGGTTGTGTGAATGTGATAAGAGCATATTTACACAAGCTTAGATGGTATAGCCTACTACATACCTAGGCTATATGCTATAGTCTATTGCTGCTAGGCTACACACCTGAACATGTTACTGTACTTAATACTGTAGGCAATTGTAACACAATGGTAAATATCTGTGTATCTAAACATAGCTAAACATAGAAAATGTAGCCGGGTGTGCCTGTAGTTCCAGCTGGTTGGAAGGTTGAGGCAGAAGGATCCCCTGAGCCCTGCAGGTTGAGGCTGTGGTGGCCATGAGCGTGCCACTGCACCCCAGCCTGGGTAACAGAGTGAGACTCCAACTCAAAAAAAAAAAAAAAAAAATAGAAAATGTATTCTGAAAACATAGTGTAGGAAAAAATTGGTATACCTGTCTAGAATACCTTTCATAAGTGGAGTTTGCAGGACTAGAAAGTGCCCGGCTCTGGGTGAGTCAGTTAGTAACTGGTGAGTGAATGTGAAGGCCTAGGACATTACTGTATCCTACTATAGTCTTTACTGTCTACATTGCCCTGTAAGTGGAAGGCATATACTCTAAAATAACCATAAAAAGAATAGTACAGTAAATACATAAATCAGTAACATAGTCGTTAATTATCAAGTACTGTGTATTGTACATAACTGTGTATCCTATACTTATATGACTGGCTCTTCAGGTTTGTTTATATCAGATCTCCACAAACATATGTGTAATGCCTTGTGCTACATCTTTATACTGGCTACAATGTCACTAGCTGATAAGAATTCTTTGGCTTCATTATAAATCTCTTGGCATCACCATTGTATATGCAGTATGTCATCAACTGATAGTTCCTTATGTGATGCATGACTGACATTGAATTTATCAATAAATTTGGAAAAATTTAACCTCTTTTCAGTATGGACTATTTCCATTAACAAAAATGCTTTATTTAAGTCTTTTTAGACATCTTTCAGTTAGATTTTGAATTTTTTCAGGAAAGTCTTGCATATCAATTTAGAATTCAGTGGCATATATTTGTTTCTATTATAATTATTTTAATTTTTTATTTTATAATTGATTTTGCTGGCTTATAGAAATGTAAATGCTTTTGTATATTAGTCTATTATTCAGAATCTTGCCAAATTCTCTTATTGTTTCTGACAGTTTATTGCTTCTTTTGGATTTTCCATAATGACAATCATGTTTTCTGTTTTAAAAAATGCAAATTTTGTTCTTTCTTCTAATCTTGATCTCCATTATTTATTTTACTGATTTAATAGACAGTTATTCTCCAATGTAATGTTGAACATAAGCTGTAAGAATGGATACCCTTCTATTGTTCCTGACTTTAAAGATTAAAGAAAATGTTTTGTTATTGTGTAAATTTGTTTTAGATTGTTTTAATTGGTTCTCATTGCCAGTTTTTGAAAGTTTTTTCTTCTTCTTATTTGCCAAGAGTTTTTAACTTGAATTAATGTTAAGCACTAACAATTTTTTTCTGCATCTTTTGATTCCATTTTTTTCTTTTAATATCTTAATGTTGTAAACTATATCAAAGGATTTCTAATGCAACACAGCAACATCAAAATTTCAAACGGATCAGGAGTTAAGTGATCGCCCAGTAATCCAATACTATATATTTTTTCATTCTTGTGATAAATCCAATTTGGTCTTGAGTTTTCCTTCATAAATGGCTAGATTCTTGTTAACATTTTATTTACAATTTTTGTGTTTAATTTTAAAATTGTGACTGGCCTATAATTTTCCTTCTTTATTTTTCTTTATGTGATTTTGATTTCAAGACTGTAGTAGCCACATTTTTTAAAAAGTTGACAGTTGGGAACATTACTTCTTTTGTTATTTTGGCCACAGTTTGTCAAAGATTCTGATTATTTCATTTTTGAATGTTTGGAAGATATTCTGTGTAAAACTATTTTGTTCTAGTATACATGTATGTTATGTGTTTGTAAGTTTTAATTACCAATTTAATTTCTTTAATGATTATGGGATATTTGGGTTTGGAGAAAATGGCAAATTTTCTTTTTATCTACATTTTAATGAAATTCTCTAATATTTTTATTTATCCTCTATTTTTAATTACATTCCACTTATGTCTGGTGACTTTTGTACTTTTTTCTTTTTTGTTGATCAGCCTTATAAAAAAATTTTTTTAGCTAGGTTGACTTTTTGTTTTGAGAGACAAAAGATATAGTACAATGGTCAAATATGTAGGCCTTGGAATACAATGACTTAATTCAAGAAGTGATTAAGAGGATTATATATCATAAATTATACAAAGTTATTTTAGCCCAAAACAAAGTAAGTTCTCAATATATTTTAGCTAGTACTATAACTAAGTCCCTAATTATTTTCTATCCGTGAAATTATTGTTTTTATTCATCTTATTTAGTTATCTAATTTTAAAATTAATGATATATTTTTCTTTCCTCACTTTCCTAAATGAAAGGCATTTCCTGATAACCCTTACATATAAAGCCTAGAATCATGCTCAATATATAGTAGAAACTCAAACACATAAATAAAATTTTGAAAAGCAAATGAAGTCCTTATGAAGTGCAGGGTCCTATTAAAATGGTAAACTGGGGAGAAAGTTTTGATGTAAAAAAATATGGGGCAATATTTGGAGCAAGAACCAATATAGAAATAAATAGGATTGTTAGTGGAAGGCTCTAGGTACATAAAACTCAAAATGAAGAAGTTATGTTTTTTCAGGGATTTGCAATGGACATGATGGAGTGCCAAAAATAAACTACTTTATAGTTTTGTCTATTTTTTAGTTTTGTACCTGCAACACAGAGGTATTCTAGAAATAGTTGATGGCATGACACTGTTGGTAGGGGCATCATAAAGATGTTTAAGTACTGTGAGATTTGGTAGGAAGCTTTCATTTTCTTAAGTTAAAAAGTCAAACTAATTTTCCTAAGATGATTATGTATTCCAAAAGTGAGAAAAGTAAATGAATGCTTTTTATTTTATAACATTGACTTCTTTTTTTTTATTTTAGGGACTCCAAAACTTATTATACCTAACAGTACGTATCAAAATATTTTAGTATTGATCCAATTATTTCATCTCCTTGATAATAAAGTGAGCTTTCAACTGTTCTGTTTTATTGACAGAAAATCCATTAATGAAGCCAATGGGGAAAGCACCTCAGCGGATACCCTTTAATCTATTCAGCCTAAGTTTTATTCTTCTAAGAATCTTTTAATTGATAATTATCTACAAAATAAATTCTCAAATATGACAATAAAGGAGCAGCTCATGGCTAAATACAACTCGTCATCAGTTTAATTCTCTGTTAAATCTGTATCTAAACTTAATGTTTGTTTTTAATTCATAATTTGTATTATAGTATGGAAGATAGGTAAGCAGTAAAATACAGTCTTAAGGTTATTTTTATTACATTTATATATTTATCAGCAGTGTTTCATTCTCTAATTTTCCAGTGAGAATGGATACAGTAGATCTAAGGAAATAAATTTCAGATATTAAATAGTTTCCATATATGCGAGTAATTTCCTTTACAAATATCATCATTATACAGAAACAAAATGTTACTGAGGAAAGTTTTCAGATAGAATGTAATATTATTCATTATGGTCAAAATCAATGGTCAGCAAATAAATCAGTGGATTAAACTCAAAAAGGAAAATTAATAAACAGTTTAAACGTTGAAAGGTAAATATATGTCCTGAAAACTAAAGCAAACTAAAGCACACTTTTCTAGGAGATTTATTGTGAAATATGCCCTATATAAAATATAAAACAACAAGATGCAAATAGTATACCTTTTAAATACCATACAGAAGATGGTGACAGAGGTGGTCAGAGTACATGAGTCTCTGCATAAATGAATGGGTGCAGAGAACAGTATTCACCCTAGGGTGTCAGCAAAAGTTGTATGAATGTCTGATTGAGTAGAGATGTGGGAAGAAGAGGACCAAGATCTCCTGCACAGGCAGCTGCCCTGCACAGCTGCTCAGAACCCAGAACATTCAATGGCCCAGAGGCAGGCACCATCTCTACAGCACAACCAGGAAAGGGAAAAAGTAAATAAAAGGAATAAAATGGCAAGAATCACCAGTGGCCAATGCCACCTACTGCTGCAGGCTTCATCCCAGATCAGACACCAGCAACAGAAGTAAAGAAAAAAGAAAAAACCACCACAAAAGAAAAAAAATAAATAAAGAAGAACCATAGCACCACACAAAGTCCAAAGAGGATAGTCCACAAGTATACAGACTTTGGAACTCAAACAATGAAGAGCACCCAGATTGACTGGTTTAATATTGCCAATACAGAGATCAAGGAATGGTTGGAAAAGATGAACAAGAACCAAGAAAAGTAAGATGAAAACATGAAAGAACTAATGACTGAGATGTAAACTATAAAGAATACAGTAAATGAAATAAATAATAAGCTGACAAGCATGGAAAGCAGAGTTAAACAGGCAGAAGAAAGAATCTCAGAACTTGAAGACCAAAATTTTGGAACTAACCCTATCTGTTAAAAACATAGAAAAGAAGCTTAAAAAGACAGAACAAATTCTTCAGGAGATGTGTGACTATATTAAGAGACTGAATTTAATACTGACAGGTATCCCTGAAGCAAATAAGGAGAATGAGAGCAGCCTGGAACAAATATTCCAAGAGGTCACCCAAGAAAACATTCTGCATCTCATCAGAGATAAGGCAATCCTAACACAAGAGATACAGAGAACCCCCGAAAAGCATCAAATAAGACACACAGTAATTCACTTACACAAAGTAGGTATAAAAGAAAAAATTCCTAAGGCAACAAGACAGAAGGTCAGACTACCTACCAGAGAAGACTAATTAGAATAGCAGCAGACTTATCTACAGAAACACTGCAGGCTAAAAGAGACTGGAGCTCAAGTATCAAAATACTCAAAGATAAACCATTCCAACCAAGAATTTCCTATCTAGCTAAGCTAAGCTTCATCAGTGATGGAGAATTAAAATCTTTCCCAGACATTCAATCCCTAAGAGTATATGCTGCCTCCATACCAACTCTACAAGAGATGCTTAAGAAGGTATTAAGCACAGAAGAGAGAAAAAAAAACACCCACATTCCTCCCAAGAATGCAAGAAAACAAAGAACTAATAAAGCATGGCATCATGACTGCAAGATTGAAAACACACACATAAATCAACCCCCAAATCAAAAGAAAACCAACAAAAAAAGTAAAAGAACGACAACAAGATCCTCATGACAGGGATAAACTCTCTCATCTCAATAATCAGCCTGCATATGAATGGACTAAATGCACTACTGAAAGGGCATAGCATGGAAAACTGGATAAAGAAACATGAGGCAACAATATCCTGTCCTCAGGAGATGCATTTTACCAGAAGGGACACTCCCAGACTCAAAGTTAGAGGATGAAGAACAAATTTTCAGGTGAACAGAACACAAAAGAAAGCAGGAGTCACAATCTTAATATCAGACAAAATAACCTTTACACTATAAAAAATTTATAAAAATACAGAAGGACACTACATAATGATAAAAGGATCAATTCATCAACAAGAAGTATCCATCCTAAATGTATATGCATCAAACACAGGAGCACCAGCTTTTTTCTTTTTTTTTTTTTTGAGTTGGAGTCTCACTCTGTCACCCAGACTGGAATGCAGTGGCCACTCCTGGCCACCGCAGCCTCAACCTGCTGGTCTCTGGTGATCCTTCCTCCTCACCCTTCCAAGTAGCTGGAACTACAGGTGCGTGCTACCACACCTAGCTAGTTTTTTTATTTATTGTAGAGATGAGGTCTTGCCAAGTTGCCCAGGCAGGTCTCGAACCCGCGGGCTCAGGCAATCCACTCACCTCAGCTTCCCAAAGCATGGGATTACAGGCTGAGCGACCGAGCCCGGCTAGCACCAGCTTTTATAAAACAGCTACTAAGTAAACTTAAAAAAAGATATTGACTCTAAGACTATCATAGCTGAGGACTTTAATACCCCACTATCATCCTTCGATAGATCATCGAGGCAAAAAATCATCAAGATCTGGAACCTCAACTTGATGTTTGACCAAATGGACCTAATAGAACCTACAGAATACTCCACCCAACAACCATGAATTAAACATTCTACACATCACCTCATGGAATGTACTCCAAGATCGACTACATCCTCGGTCATAAATCAAGTATAAATAAACTTCTCACACCACAGTGGAATAAAAATAAATATCAACTCCAACAAAGTTTCCCCAAAACCCACAAAGATATGGACACTAAACAGCATGATACTAAGCAACTCCTGGATAGACATGAAAATCAAACAGAGATTAAAAGATACCTGGAAACAAATAAAAATGAAGAAAAATCTTACCAAAACCTCCAGGATGCCATGAAAGCAGTACAAAGATGGGAATTCATATCTTTACAAAAATACATGAAGAAAATGGAAAGATCACAAGTTAACAGCCTAAAAAATCAGCTAAGTGGGCTGGAAAAATAAGACTACCAAAACCCTAACTTCAGCAGAAGAATCCAGATCACCAAAATAAAAACACAAATATGGGACACAGAGACAAAATTATCATAGAAAAAAAAATCAATGAAACAAAAAGCTTGTTCTTGGAAAGGAAAAACAAGACTGATGGACCCTTAGCAAGACTGACCAAGAAAAAGAGATAAAAGTCCAAATAAACACAATCAGAAATGCAAAAGATGAAGTTACAACTGTACCCAAAGAAATACAAATCAGAGATTACTATGTATACTCATATGAAACAACATTGAAAACATAAGTGAAATTGAGAACTTTCTGACAACACAACCCACCAAGGTTGAAACAAGAATAAATTGAGACCCTAAATAAATCAATAACAACCCATGAAATTGACTCTGTCATAAGAAAACTACCCACCAAAAAAAGCCCTGGACCAGAATTCTACAAAACCTACGAGGAGGAGCTGATACCAATCCCACTGAAAGTATTCCAGGCAATCAAGAAAGACAGAATTCTCCCCAAATCATTTTATGAAGCTAACATCACATTGATACCCAAACTGGATAAAGATCCAACAAAGAAAGAAAACTATAGGCTAATATTTCTGATGAACATAGATGCAAAAATTCTCAGCAAGATTCTAGCAAATCAGATTCAACAACACATGACCAAGTAGGCTTCATCCTGGGGATGCAGGGCTGGTTCAATATTTGTAAGACCATAAATGTAATTAAGTACATCAACAGATGGAAAACAAGAAACACATGATTATATCATTAGATGCAGAAAAAGCTTTTGATAAAATCCAGCATTCCTTCTTGTTGAAAACCCTTGAACACCTAGTCATAGATGGAATGTACCTCAAAATAGTAAGAGTCATCTATGATAAACCCACATTCATCATACTGCTGAACAGACAGAAATTGGAAGAATTTCCCCTGAAAACCGGAACAAGACAAGGCTACCCACTGTCACCCCTCCTGTTCAACATTGTGTTGGAAATCCTAGCTAGAGCAATTAGACAAGAGAAGGAAATAAAGCGTACTCAAATAGGAAAAGAGCAAGTTAAGTTATCCCTCTTTGTGGATGACATGATCCTATACCTTGAAAACCCAAGAGGATCTTTCAAAAAATTCCTTGCACTGATAAAGGACCTTGGCAAAGTCTCAGGGTATAAAATAAACATTCAAAAGATGGTTGTTGCATTCCTATACAGAAACCCAAATAAAAAGCACAATTCCACTCACAATAGCCACAAAATTTTAAAAATGAAATACCTTGGCATCTTCCTAACCAGAGAAGTCAAAGACCTTTGCAATGAAAACTACAAAACACTGCTCAAATAAATCCAAGAAGACATAAACAAAGTGGGAGGTATCACACTTCCAGACTTCAAACTCTACTATAAAGCTACAATAATCAAAAGAGCATGGTATTGGTATAAGAATAGGCATATAGACCAATGGAACAGGATAGAAACTCTGGAAGCAAAACCTCAATTCCTCAACCAACTCATCTTTGACAAAGCCTCCACCAACAACCACTGGAGAGAGGAGAACCTATTCAGTAAATGGTGCTGGGAAAACTGGCCAACTACATGAAGAAGACTGAAACAGGACCCCTACCTATCACCATACACAAAAATCAATTCTAAATAGGTCAAAGACCTAAATGTAAAAACTCAAGCTACAAGAATCCTAGAAGAAAATATAGGAAACACTCTTAGGGA